TCTGCAAGGCAAATACCACAGACCAGTCCAAGGGAGAGTGCCAGGACAGCTTCATGAACTCTCAATTTGCCAACAGAGACACCCTCAATCCTGCCAAGCTACGGGCTCTCAGTTCAGGGCAGACTCCTACACAAGTAACTGCTTGATCATGCAGAGAAAGTGAAACAGAGTGTACCTGGAGCTCTTCAGACATGAATGACCCTGCCATCATCAGGCCTCTATGCAAAGAATAATGACCTATGGGTGCTCATGGATGTGATCAGGCAGAGCCCACTCACGTTCGCACACATTTGCACACACGTGTGCACTTATACACGCAGAAACTTAACCTGAGGGTTGGGTGCTGCCACCTACTCCTGTTCACCTCTGTCAGTGTACCCTGGCATGAATCAGCAGAAAAGCTACCGCGTATGCCGACATCGTTTTTCTAGGATGGAGACTACAACTCAATATTTGCTGACTTAGCTCACATTTTCTCCTTCCCTGTGCGGAAACTGGCGGAAAGTTCACTTAGTGAGTGTACATGGAAAAAGAACCGAGAAAGGGTTAGTTGTAAAACAAGATCATTCCAGACCTCAACAGCTCATGGGTAAGGGGGTCATCAATACTTAGGCATTCAAAACTCAACCATTCTTTAGAGATGCTTACATCGAGAGATGTAGATAAAGTATATTTTTCACATCCCAGGAAAAAAAAAAAACACAAACATATTAGAAGGATCCAGTAATATACTCTCTAACAAACAGCAAAATAAGTATGAACTATAATGTTACCTTCATCATCATAAAACCACAACACTGATTTATAGTGAGAACTTTCTCATTTCCTGCCTGCATTTCAGCTGTGATGCAAACACTCAAAATATAAGCAAAACTCACAGTAAAGGATGCCTACTCAGAACATCTTAGCATGCTTGCCCTTTTATTGGTAGAGGTGACTCAGAATACACATAGGAAATGCAGGAAGTGCTAGGATTCATGCAGCTACCTGAAATCACTTCCCCGAATGGACCCAATCTCGCCAGCTTTCCATGTGACAGGAACGTTTATTCAGCCCTATAGTCTTGGTGGGAAATGCTAACTCCTTCCCTCGGCCACATTACTGTAGGATACACAGTATGGGCGTCTTTAATTATGCCACTCTGGAATGTGTGCCCTGCACTGCTTTCCTTTCTTCTTTCTAACCTATTCCCACGGCTCCATAGAGCTGCCCAGAATTTCTCTAAATGCCATGTTTCTCTGTGGATGCAGAAAGGGAAGAAGAACAGGTTAGATGGCATAACTGGGCGCCTTCAGGGCAGGAGAGAAGGCTCAGCAGTTAAGTGCTATGGGAGCACATTCTGCTCCTTTTAAGAGACCAGCCCACTTGGGTGTGTATGGCCTCTTATACTGTAAGAGCACTGGCTGCTCTTCCAGGGGACCCTACACCTTCTGGTCACACACATGGTACACAGACATACATGAGGGCAAACACTCATATACATAATTTTTATAAGTGGCTCCTTCTATCACTATCCCATAATACTCTCACCTAAGGGCTTTGTTGTAGCAAACACACAAGAAGCCACCTCTTCTGTCTTTGCCATTTACAGATATGCTGCAATGACTCCACTACTCCACACTGTTTCCCTTAAAACTTCAGTGGAGCTGGTAAAGCCTCTCACCTTCAATACCACAGAAGCTAACTAGAAGTCAAACTAATTCTTGAAGTTCCACGCAAGGCCACACAGGCACACATAAATGACTTGGCAATGGAGACCTCTGGTTAAGCCAACTGGGTACTTATCAGAGAAACTGAAATCCTACCAATGTCAAGCCCTGAGAAAGCCCTTGTAAAGCAGGCAGCATGCTTCCTTTCCCAGCGCTCCATCTTGCATGGCACCCAGCTGCTGTCAGACTGAGGTGCTGAAGAGAACTGATGGCTGGCTCATCCTTCTGAACTCACAACCACAGAGTTACAGAACACATTTGATGGCGTAGTTCAAACCCCGTGTTTCACACTTGAGGAACTGGCCAGTGAAGAAATGTATCCAAAGCCTTTCAAAATTTTTGTGCTACATCTGCACTCTAAATCTTGAATTAAGTAACCATTAAGCCTTTGAATCACCCAATCTCAGAGCGTGTAATGTAACCTAGACAACAGGTAAGCTTTTCTTGGTAGTCCTAAATAATATAAGCCAACTAAAAACTAAGCTCCCTCAGTTTCTCACCTGCCCTCCTTCTAACAAAAGACTGGGAGCCAAAAGATCCTGGTCCCAATTACCAGGAGATACTGTTGATGGGGAGCGGTGTCCCCAGGTCAGAAGGTAACACTATAGTTGACTTCTTAAGTGCCCTCATACTGGAGCTGGAGAAATGACTCAGTGAGTAGTTAAAAGCCCTAGCTACTCTTGCAGAAGACAAGGATTCAATTCTTGTCACCCATATGGCAGCTCATAATCTTCTGCAACTACCAAAAAAGGGGTTCCAATGCCCTTTTCTAATCTCCTCAGAAAACAGGCACACATGTGATACATAGACAGGTATGCAGGCAAATACTCATACACTTTGAATAAACAAATAAATACACAAATAAATAGCCATCACTCAACTAATCATTTGACATTCCAGGACTGCAGCCACATCTACCCTATGCATGGATACATAGACAAAGGAAAGAGCGTGCTTTCTCCCTTGCTAGCAGACACTCTCATCAATAAACCTAGCTTTTTTTTTCATAAACAAAATTACTTTATTTCCAATAATGACAACACACATTGAAATGAAAACTGTTTAATCACACAAAAACACAATAAAAAGGCCGTAGAAGCATTACATAGTGCAAACACCCAGGTACAGGGCTATTAACTCAGTGGCACTGTAGGAAATTACACAAAGACACATGGAAACACTTCCCTTCGGCCTCCCTAGTAAGCTGCCATTCTTCTCAGTCTATTACCCCTCAATGATACTACTGTACTGGCGACTCCCCAACCGGGATGCCAGGAACTGCCTGTTTCTGCACACCAGCAGAGCATCTTTTGCCACCTACTCAAGTGCACATAAAAAGAATTCCTACACAGCAAGGCCTCAGCAAGGACGTTCCATGAGAAAAGGATGTCTGGAGGATAAAAGATAGCATGTGAGCAGAGGACTTACAGTAAGCAACACAGGCTCTGGCAAACAGGCAGCAAAGAGAACTGCTTCCAGAACTCAAGGGCTTCTTAATACAAGCCTCAGAGTACAGTTGACTAAGACTATTAGCTTCTTACACCTTCTTCAAGGCAGTAAGTTTTTAAGAGTTGCTCCCCAATAGTCTCCACATCAACCTGAGGTAGAAAGGGGTGGTGTGTATGTTGGTGTTACAAGTGAGAAAAACTGCAGCTTACAACTTTCAGACTAGGCTACAAGCTGCTGGGGTAATCTTTCTTTAATCAAGAGGAAACAATTCATAGCAAGCTACAGACAGTCTTGTTCAGACACTGAAACTTCTACTATGCCAAGTACATTGCATTTCCTATTACTGTGTTAGAGGGGTGGTGTGGCGTCCTTACTGAAAGGGAGTGAACAACAGAGAAACAAATGGGCATGCAGAGGGTTGGAAAACTGACCTCAAATTCCTCAGTGCTCAGACAAATCAGCTGTGAACTAATTACCAACCCATCACACACACAAAAGAAGCCATCCAGCTGACCTCAGTTTCCCTCCTCCCTAAGCTCATGGTCCTCTGCAAACACAGACACAACATTGCTTAAGACTGGCTGAAGAAGGACCGTACATAAGTACAAAGCAGCTCTAGCCACCCAGAGAGAAAGATGGCCTTTGGCATAGAAGCAAGGTCCAAACCCAGTTAACTTCGAACCAGGATAGCATAAAAGCAACAATAAAGGTGAGGGAAGGAGGAAGGGGAAATGCCTACAAACATCCAAGTACCAGTGGTTGAAGTGACTCACTCCCTAGACCTAGCATGGGAGCAGTTTCCAGTTTGTTTGGAGGTGTTTTTTTCTATTGACAGCTCTTTGTTGTCTGCAGTTACTATGTGCTTCCTTTAGAGGAGCTGCTAGCCCTTCCCTCCTTGGGGAGAATGTTGTGTAGGCATTTTGAAATCTTTTGATGTAATTAATGTGCAATCCCAAGTAATGCCATTATTGGTGAATGTGGCATTAGTAAAGAAACTCTTACTATAAATTATTCTTTCCTCAATAGCCCCCTCCTTTTTTTTTAATTGAAGAGACAGGGTCTCCATGTCCTTGGTTGACCTAGAACCTTTGTAGTCTAGGGTGTCCTCAAACTCACAGAGATCTGCCTGTTTCTGCCTTCTGAGTGCTAGGCCTAAAGGCGTCTGTCACCATACCCATCCTTAGTAGCCTTTTGAATGGCTATTGTTACAGAAACTGATCTCATATCCACGGTGCTGCTTTCCCTGTTTATTGCGTTTGCATAGGAGCCTCTAGTCCCTTCTAGCAGCACAGCACAGCCAGTAGCACTCCCCATTTCTTAAGGTGGAGGAATCAGAGATAAGCTATAAGGGCAAGTAGTGCTACCAGGACAGTTCCTTCAGTGGTGTTAGAGTTTGGCAAGTGCTTTACTAAAGGTCAGCATTGTGTTGAGACACCTGAGAGCCAATCAGAGCATTTTATTTGTTATCCAAAGGTGTTTTGTATTTTAAACCTAGCTTTTTAAGCTGGCCATAGTGGTGCATGCTTCTAATTCTAGCACTTTGGAGGCAGAGGCAAGCAGATCTCTGTGAGTTCAGACCAGCCTTGTCTACACAGTGAGTTCCAAGACTGCTAGAGCTACACAATGTGACCCTGTGTAAAACAAACCAACAAATATAGCTTTTTGAACTTTATAAATAGGTTTATGGTTCACAGTCTAGTTGAACTGCAACAATTAACTACCTAGGCTTTTTAATGGTGCTGGGGGAGAAACTTTAAGTATGGCAGGACCTCTCAGTCCAGCTGTACTGACTCAGGGACTGAAGATGCTAGAAATTAAATGGCCATGAAAAATCAGACTAATGTGTTTGCTTTGGCAACACATATACTAAAATTAGAACAATACAGAGAAGATTAGCATGGCCCCTGTGCAAGTATGACATGCAAATTCATGAAGCATTCCATATTTTTTAATTGAATGGAAAAATAAAAATTATAAAAAAAAAATCAGACTAATACAGTGGCCCGAGTTTACTGTCACTCAGGTGAAGGTAAAATATGTAGAAATGAATGAGAATAAGAAAATAAGAGAAAAGCTTTATTAAGTAGAATTAAGAAAAAAGAAGAGAAACTCAGAAAAACTGAGAGCCTTTTGAGAGTTACAGGATGGGGGGGAAGAGAGGGAAAGTGCCTTAGTTAGGGTTTCTATTGCTGTGAAGAAACACCATTATCACAACAACTCTTCCAAAGAAAAACATTTAATTTGAGCTGGCTTACAATTTCAGGGGTTCAGTCCATTATCATCACAGTAAGAGGCACAGCGGCACTGGAGAAGGAGCTGAGAGTTCTACATCTTGATCCACAGACAACAGGAAGTAAACTGTCTACCACACTGGGAGTAGCTTGAGCATATGTGGGGCACACTTCCTCCAACAAGGCCACACCTCCTAATAGTGTCAACCCCAATGGGGGCCATTATCTTTCAAACCACCACACATACACACAGCTATTGAATTTCCTTGTCTGAGCCATGGCAGAAACTGGACAAAAGCTGAGACAACTGATAGGAGACTGGTTAGTTCTCTGAGCTAGCCTGGGCTAAAACAACGGCAGGCCCACAGACCCTCGCATAGCCCCTTATCCAATAAGGAAGATGGTGACCACGTGCATGTGCTACCCACCAGAGAGATGACTGAAGCCCTTCTCTGTCCATCTCTAACTTGTACATCATTAGCAACTGACCTTGACTGTCTGCTACCTATGAGCTCTGGCCAGCATTGCCACACTGGACACACAGCCCATCCTTACCTGTCATATGGATAACACAGTCATACTGCACACACAGCCTACCTTTACCTGTCATATGCGTAACACAGCCACACTGCACACACTGCCCATCCTTACCTGTCATATGGGTAACACAGCCACACTACACACACCGCCCATCCTTACCTGTCATGTGGATAACACAGTCACACTACACACACTGCACACACTGCACACACAGTCCATCCTTACCTGTCATATGGATAACACAGCTACACTGCACAAATACTCCCTAATGACCACCACTTTTTCTGAGGGGGAGGAAGTCATTTCCTCTTATTTCTATAACTAAATTAGGGAAATAAAACGCCAGTAAATTGAGTTTCACATTAATGTGTCCAAAGGACAATGTGCTGGTTTAATTGCTCAGCTAACATGCTAAGTGTATCTGGGATAGTGCATGTTGTTAATATAAATTATTTTCCTGAAAACTCATTAAATTGATGGAAAAGTAAGAGCTTTTAAAACACTCGCATGCAAGTTAAGAGCCATTTCATTTCAGGATCTGATACATTTATTAACCTCTTTATTGATGAAATCAATTTTGCAATCAGACTTTTCTGTAAATAAATCATTCATCTCCCCCATACACCCTCAACTCGAATGGCTGTTCTTTTCTTTCCTTAGATTCAAGCATGCAAGCTTCTGGTTTCCATGATCCTTTACAACCAAACAGAGACTCAACAGAAAGCTGAATTAGTGGATGACCTGTCATCTCAGCACTTGGGAAACTGAGGCAGGAGGATGGTGAGTTCAAAGCTAGCTAAGATTACAAAGAGGAAGGGAAAAGGGGAGGAGGAACAGGTGAGTAGCAAATAATAGTTTTAAAGGGGCGTTTTAGTGAGGGTCTTGTGTAACTTTACTTCAAGTCATGGCTAAGATAGAAAATACTTTGCCCAGCACCACTCAATTAAAACTCAAGGCTTGAATCAGAATCCATTTTCATGGAGCCTACACATACAAACTATCAAAAGAAAGAAAAACTCAAGTTCTTCATTTCTTTATTAACTTCAAAACCTTCATTCCTTTAGTAACTCTATTTCCATTTTATATCCTATGCCTAAACTGTACTAGTTTTGCCCTTCCTTATTACCGTGAATAATGACTCTCTTCTATCTCCTAAATAAGACATTGATTAAAAAAACAAGCAAACAAAAACCCTCATCTTTCCTTTTTGTGCAAAAAGAGCTAAGAGTCTCTACTTCTCTCCAAGTCATCTCACTGGAAAGAAGGCTTTTCATGCCCCAGTGCTTTAAAGGTTTTACACAATTGTTTGCTAAGTTCACTCATTTTCCCCATCCAGGAAAAAAATCTGTTTATGTTCCTTTCATATTAATGCTTCAGACAGGAAATTAGATGACGAAATTCAGTGAAATGAGCAAGCATTTGCATTCCTTTGGCCAGACTCTGGCCAGACTTCTGGTTAGAAGCAAGGGCTGGGAACATAATGGGCACAAAGGGAGTCACTGGGCAGTAAAACTTCTGGCTTATCGTCTTACCCAGGCTGACTTCACTGGACGGAGTGGAAAGCAGGGTAACAATATACCAAATTTTCCACTGCACTGCTTGCAACTGATGGGAAAAAGATGTCAGGCAAACATTGCAGAGTTGAAGGCACAGTGTTGTATTTTGATTTTTGTCATTTTTTTTTTGCTGTTGTTATTTTTTAAAAAAATCCATAATAGGCAGAAATGAATTATAAATGCCTAAAGATTAGGAAAAATATGAATTCTACTATCATTAGTTTTACAATATCCCAACTCCAACAATTTGCATTTGTACCTGTATGAGAGAAGGCAGAAAGAATGGTAGTTCAAATAGCAAAAGAATTAAGACATGAGGAAGCAAATTTTGCTTAGAGGTGGTTTTCCTCCACAGCGTAATCAGAAACAGAAAAAGGAATTACACCATTAAAAAAGATAAGGAATCAATAAAAAATACAGTATTTTTAAAATTTTTCATATATTCTTTTTTTTTTAAAAAAAGCCCTTTCTTTTTTTTCTTTTTTTTTAATTTTTATTTGTTTATTTATTATGTATACAACATTCTGCCTTGATGTATGCCCGCACGCCAGAGGAGGGCGCCAGATCTCAGTACAGATGGTTGTGAGCCACCATGTGGTTGCTGGGAATTGAACTCAGGACCTCTGGAAGAACAGCCAGTGCTCTTAACCTCTGAGCCATCTCTCCAGCCCAAATTTTTCATATATTCTTTGAGAATTTCAGATAAATACAACTCATACCCACACAACTTGGACTTTTCCTGAAGTGTCCCAAAGCATCCTCCTAACTTCATGTCCCTTTATTTGTATTAACCCACTGAATCCAATTAGTGCCATTTATATGTACGTGGTTCTTGTGTTGTTCACTGAAAATGTGCAGCATACAGGAGCTACACTCCTGAGGAAAAATCCTCTTCCAGAAGCCATCAACTGCTAAGATCCTCCACAAGAGCTAAGATCTTGTCAGCCCCTCCCATTCACGCTGGAATGTTGACTGGCTTGATTTTTATGCTGGTGTCAAGCAGGTAACCACAGTTCACGAGAGGAATGGCTGTCACATGTAGAAGGTATTAATCATGGCATGTAAATAATAATAAAGATGCAAGTATCTACATATATGTGTATGTATACATGCATGCTTGGTTCTTCGCCCACTGTTTCTAACCCTGTGATTCTGTGAAAACAGGAAACTGGAACACGCATGTAAGGAATCAATGGGAGCAAGAGGGTCCCACAGCAATACTCTGTCCTTGGATGATTCTCAAAACTGTAGCCATCCATCTGATAAATAAGCCCCAATGCTAACTCTGGGGTGGGCGGAGCTCTGAGCAGCAGGGGCAACCGTGAAACAAACAGAGACAGACCTGCCCTTCAAACCTCCAACAGAAATGCTGCTTTGGGCTCCACCTTCCATTCGCACGTCTGAAGCCAAGGTCATTTTCTTTGATCCCCAAACTACTCCGTTTCACTGCTCCCTCTCTGTGCTAGTTAGTTGTTTGTTAGCCTGACACAAACTAGAGCCCCCGGTGCAAAGGAAACCCTAACTGAGAACGCCTCCATAAGATTCGCCTGGAAGTAGACCTGTGGAAGGGTTCTCCAGTAATGACTGATGTGGGAGGGCCTAGGCCACTGTGGGCAGTGTCACCCTGAGCAGGTGGTCCTGGGAGGTAAAGAAAGCGAGCTGAGTAAACTTGGGTGTAAGCCAGAAAGCAGCTTCCTCCATCAGCCCCTGCCCTGAATTCCTGCCCAGACTCCCCTTAATGATGGAACTGAATCTGGAAGCTTAAGCCAAACCCCTTCCGCCCCAAGTTGCTTTGTGGTCATGGTATTTATCACAGCAAAAGAAGGCAAACTAGAACACTGTCCCACTTAGCATACTCATTTGTCTTGGCCATTACGTGTTTTAGAAAGGGTCTTCTTTAGAACCCATATGCTGGCTATGAATCCTCTATGTAGCACAGACTGATCTCAAATCACCATACCCCTGCCTCCTAAGTTCTAGGATTTCAAGTAGACAACATCATGCCCAACTGGACCGCTAACTTACAAGTCAGGTAAATCTAACCTCTCCTTCATTTCCACCTCTACAAACATTTTTTAGAATTGCACAAGAGACCTGGTCACCAAACCTCAAAAAGTTTCTTCCTTCTTCTCATTTCCTCCAACACTTGCTCATGAAGCTAATCACCCCGTGTCTACATTGTTACAAGAACCTTCTGAAGGCTTTAGGGTTCTGTTCTGAAGTTGCTAAAATCTTGAATGCCCTGCAGCTAAGTTTGCCAAGAAAGTATCCATGAAACAAAAGGCCTTTTAAAAAATAGTCAGAACTTCTTACAAGTTTACAAGTAGTGCCTCTTCTTGTTAAGTAGCTACATTGGGATTTAAGAGACACATTGAAAGCCCCTTGACACTGTATTAACTGCCAGTCGTATTAAAAGCTTTTGCCCCAAACTGCCTTAATTAGTCACAGAATTCTGGTAGCTTCTTTGTAACAACAGGAGTCTATAATGCCTGTAGTTAAACATATCCTCAATTAACTAAAGGAATGAAATTCCCCTATATGTTAGTCAGGGTTCTCAAGAGGAACACGATTGAGAGGGGCTTACAGGCTGTGGTCTACCTACTCCAACAATGTCTACCAACA